TCTTCATCATGAATTCTATGAATTTGTTAAGAATTCCCATCCCCTTGATTATATTGGACGAGGGTTTTTTTAATTAGTAATCAGAATTGAATATTCCCCCCTCTTTACTTTTCCCCGGCATCTTCTTGTTAACATAAAACACCTAGCTTACAGATTTAAAGGTTGGACATTGTATTAATTTAATTATGTGAGTAAAATATAAAATTATCATATCATATATGGTTTATAAACTACTGCACTTTTGTACAGATTAGAGCATTTAATGAGTTTTTTTGGCATGCGTCATATTATGGTTGAACCCAACATTATGCAAATTATTTTGATATCTCTTATTTAATTATTTAAAATTTTTATACTTTGAAAAATGTACGGGCCCATGTGTATTATTGACAAGAATTAGAAATTAATGAATTGTGAATTTAGATTAACAATAGGCCCTAAATATGCAGATACAGAGGTATTTGATTTTGGTTTTTATATAATATAATACATGCTATGTTTATGTACCAAATAATTAATTGTACGTCCATAATCTCCTTTTACATATGCACGCAATTAAAAGATGTCTTGTAATAAGATTTGACAGCTTGCTTTTTTCATTTGATTTTAACAACAGTAAGTAGGTACAATAATAGTAATGCTTAAGTTAAAATATGGCCTGATTATTGATTAACTTACTCTCTAAATCTATTGATTAAGCTGCTAGTTTAAAAAAAAATAAAAATAAAAAAGAAATTAGTATATTTTAAATATTAAATATATATTTAGTAATAAATATTTTATTAATGTATTTTAATTTTATCAAGTAACAATAAAAAAATACAAGTATGTAGATTTAATGAGGTCAAAATGTAGTGGCATGATTCGTAAATATTAGCATTTGTGATGGCAATAATGTCACTCAAATCGAACTTGATTCCTCCTACTTCCCGTTGCCAACCGTTGCTCTATTTGTACAAATTGGCGTCCTCTTCTTCTTCTGCCTCTTCATAAAATACAAAAAAGATAATCCTCCCATTCTCCGCTTTCACTCGCTCAGAGAACTATCCATGGCGGCTTCTTCTTCTTCTTCTTATCTTCTCTGTCTCATTTCTCTCGTATATCTCCTTATCTCCTTACTGTCCATCCCCTCCAACGCCACCATTACTATCCCTCTCTCTTTCTCCACCAAATTCCCATCATCGGATCCGGTTCAGATCCTTAACCACCTTGCTACAGCTTCACTCACCAGAGCCCAACGCCTGAAACTACCCAAGAAGATTCAGACCAACGATACTGCTACTCTCTCTTCTTCCCTCGTCAAAACACCTCTCTTCGCTCACAGCTATGGCGGATACTCAATTTCCCTCAGCTTCGGCACGCCGCCGCAGACCGTACCTTTCGTCTTCGATACCGGCAGCAGCCTTGTCTGGTTCCCATGCACCTCTCGCTATCTCTGCTCCAAATGTTTTTTCCCCAACATTGACCCGAATCAAATCCCAGCGTTTATTCCCAAACTCTCTTCTTCTTCCAAGCTCGTCGGCTGCCAGAACCTCAAATGCTCTTGGATTTTCGGCTCAGATCTTCAATCTCGCTGCCAAGGCTGCGATCCGAATCTCCGGAATTGTACTCAGGCTTGTCCTCCTTATATACTTCAGTATGGTTTAGGTTCCACAGCTGGACTTTTGCTCTCCGAAACGCTTGATTTTCCAGATCAAACCGTACCCAATTTCCTCGTTGGGTGCTCCATTTTGTCCAGCCGCCAACCCGCCGGCATTGCCGGATTCGGCCGCAATCCAGAATCTCTTCCCTCACAGATGCGTCTTAAGAAGTTCTCTTACTGTTTAGTGTCTCGCAGGTTCGACGAGACGCCGGTGAGCAGCAACCTCGTGTTGGAAACCGGGTCGGGTAAAGCCCATGACAAAATCAGAGATGTTAGCTACACTCCGTTCCTGAAGAATCCATCAGTCTCCAATATAGCTTTCCAGGATTACTACTACGTCTCTCTCCGCAAAATAATTATCGGCGACAAGCACGTGAAGATTCCGTACAGCCTCCTGGTTCCCGGACCCGACGGGAATGGCGGGACCATCGTCGACTCTGGATCAACCTTCACCTTCATGGAGCGGCCGGTTTTCGAGGCGGTGGCTAAAGAATTCGAGGCCCAGATGCGAAACTTCAGCCGGTCCACCGCCGTCGAAACCCAGTCCGGGTTAAGCCCTTGCTTCAACATCTCCGGCGAGAAATCGATGCGTGTGCCGAAGCTGATTTTTCAGTTCAAAGGCGGAGCTAAAATGGTGCTGCCATCTTCCAATTACTTAGCGTTCATCGGAAAACCAGCGGCGGTGTGTTTGATGATTGTCTCCGATAACGCCGTCGACGAATCCGCCGGAAGCCTCGGGCCGGCGATCATTCTGGGTAACTTCCAGCAGCAGAATTTCTACGTGGAATTTGATTTGGGTAAGCAGAGGTTCGGGTTTGCGAAACAGAGATGCGCATGAGCTGCGATTGTTTTTTTCTATTCCATTTTCAGAATTAATTGATAAAAAGAGTAGAAAGTAGAAGGGAATCTGAAATGGTGTTAAATGGGAATAATTAAACTGAAAGGGGTAAGAAAAAAACAGTGACGGAGAAGATGGAGATGCAAGGGGGGAGGAGGAGGGGACAGTATTATGGTTATAGGAATTTTGTTCTAATCATTGTTTCAGAAAGTTGGCAAATAATTATCTTGCATTATAAATATTTAGTAAATGTTATATGTATGTGGTGTATTAAACTATTAATTTTTATTTATACTAATTAGAATTTAAAAGGAGATATAATCTTAACTCTTAAATATAATTCTTCTTCTAACAGCAAAATCCTCGATACATTTTATATGTCAAAGTACCAATCAGTATGAAATAAAACTCATTTAATAAAATTAAACACCCAAGTTGTCAAGGCTGGTAAAGTAGATTTGGGCGTGATGATAAAGGGTCCACTTTACATTCTTAAGCAACCTTTGGTATATAACAAAAGAAAGAGGGTCCAACATTAATTTATAATATTTAATTTATTATCACACTATTAAAATTATAATTATTAAATTAAAATAAATTTATTATATTTTTAAAATTAATAAAATATTTCATAATAATTAATTTTTTTAATTATAATAATTTAAATGAGTTAAAAAATTAAACTTAACATTTTAATTTTTTTTTTTTTTAAAATATAAGATAACTACTACTATCTACCGACATTAAGGTTCGAATTATTCAGCTATTGTGACATAATATTAAGAACTTTAAGAAGTGTAGGATCAACAAAACTTAATAGATATTTTAGACATTTTCTGAAAAACAATATTTTATAAACTTAATAATAAGAACCACGTAGATTATTTGATGACATATTTAGAATTCAATGTGATAGAAGTTTACATTTAAAGTAATGGACGATTGTACATAATCGACCACTATCGTTGAATTTCATAAATATTTTTTAAAAAATAATTATGAAACAAACAATGATTTTTTTGATACTCGTTAAATAAGGATTATTCATTGGTGATTTAGGCAAAGAATGTAAGTCACAAATCCTCAATTATTCAGTTAATATTATATATTACATTTTGTATGTCCTTCTATACTATTATAAATTAAATGAAAATATGTGAAAAAAATCACAACTCCCACCAAGAGCTTGTATAAATAAATATATATATATATATATATATAGTTTGAGATAAAACATTTAAAAAAACTTAATTACCAATATCTTAATATATGGTTAATGCAAATAATGTGAGTGAGTAATTTCACTATGTAGAGTGAGATTCTTGTGAAACATGTAGTGAATCCAAAAGCCCTTTAATAGGTAATTAAATTTAAACTACAAACAAGTTTTACATGCTTTGTTTTCGACTACAAGTAGACATTGGTATTAATTAAATTTGGAGTACTTCAGCTACATTTTAGACAATACAAAGGTAATTAGGACCACTTGAATTTCAGCCTACTAGGACCATCCATTTATCATCTTATTTTTTTCCAAATGATATATTAATTTATTTAATTTTTAATACAATACCCTTTTTAGATTTAATGTTCTATGATTATTGCTCACTATTTTTATCGTTCAATCATTTGATAATTAATTATTTTTTAATAAATTATCAATACCGATCATATTTAACAGAATTTGATCAGTTAAATTTTTTTAATATCATTAAAGTAAAAAAAAAAATTGAATTAAAAATTATCATTATCTGTTATTAATAAAATTATTATTTACGATCCATAATTATATTTTACATCAATTTTATTTTTTATTAATAAATATATTTTTTTAAATTATTTATATGACTTAAACCCGTATCGTATTTTTGAAAAAAGTAATTTACAACAGCATTTTAAAAATATCTCCTCAATAATGAAGAGGATGAATTTATTAGTGTTACTAAGAAGAAAAATGGAAATGATGAGACATAAGAAATCATGTGATATATAATAACAACAAATCATATGAATACTTTTGCACATGGATTTGATATTTAGATAGGGAATTGAAAACTAATAAGCTTTATATATATATATATATATATATATATATACACACACATGTAGTGTGTGTGTGTGTGTGTGTGTGTATATATATGTGTATATAACCATGGCTAAATGTCACCGCCCAATTATTAGGAAAAAGGCACATAACAGAGTGTCGTGGGTGAGTGGCGCATCACTTTCCTCTCTAGTTGCTTTTTGCGGTACTTTCTTGTTTCGTGGGTTTGCTTACAATATGGGGTTTTTCCGTGTCTTTTCTCTTTGATTTAACAATCTTACTTCCATGTATGTATGTATACATGTATGTATATACAATATCGATGGACTCTTTATCTCGATTTGTTGTATCGGTGTTTTTTGGAATTGGGTAAATTACCCTTGGCTTCATCTTTGGATACTTATAAAAACATTCCTACATTATATTATATATATATACACACACACACACACACATGTATCAAATTCATACTTGTTTAAGAAAGAATTGTCGTGAGTAATTTCTTTTAGTATATATTTATTAAGATTGTGTTGGGAAGACTTCAAATTTTTATTTATAAATGTAGATTCAAATCAATTGGAGTGGAATAAAAAAATCCATATAATAATTTTAAAAAATGAAATTGTATAAAATTTCATGTAATTTACTAAGGGTAAATATAAAAAAAAAATTACAATATTTTTTAAATTGGTCTATACATAAGCTAAATATTTAAACTACATATATATATAAATATAAATATATGACTATGTTATAAACTTGTGAGATGAGCCTACGGATAATCTTCAAATACCGGTAGTGGGTTAAGCACTTCACTCGTTAGTGGAAGGTTTAATTGTAACAGGACAAATATCGGTATACTTTAGTTGTATTAATTAATTTATATTTTTTTAATAAATAAATAATAATAATGATAAATTATTTTTATAAAATATGAAGTATAGTACAAGATAAAAATTTGTAAAATAATAATGTTGCTTTAAATTAATTCAACATTTAATTTAAATTATATACTTTTCTGATTACTCAAAATAAATGTGTATAATTTAAATATATAAATTATAATTTAATTTTTCATATTGCCTAATCAAAATCTATGAATTAAATATAAGTAAAATAAGTTTGAACAAAATACAACGTAAATAATATCATAAATAACATATGAGATTGAGATTATTTGATACAAATAGGTTTTTTTTTTCAATAGTCAAGTATTTCTATTAATTATTTATTCAAATTACAGTAAAATAAGGACTAAAATATTATAATTTTTTAAAAATTGTTATTTGACTAATAAAAAATTGATTGATTAGTTGTTAATTAGGTAAAATTATTGTTTAATTTGATTTCATTTATATCTAAAAATGTACTTAAATTGAACTTAATTAGTCGTTTTAATAAATTTAATTTAATATATTATTTGAACATATTAATTATTTAGCTAGTTTTAAACTACTATGTTATGATCTCTTGGGATTTAGGTCTATTTAAATTTAAAACCTACACTCAATCTCTTCATTTCACATATAAGGGAGACGATGCACCACTATGTTATTATTTTTAATTTTTTTTTATTAGATAGTGCACTGGCAACAACTACCAATAATAACGTCTTAACTTTAGTAATAAATTAGTTATTTTTTAAAATAAATTGAATTTTTGCGTACAAGGGTTTTCAACTATTTTTTTTTTTAAGAGGATTCCTCAATTCAGTGAGTTATAGTAATTTCCATTTATACTCATAGGTAATCAATCGATCGACCTGATTTTTCAATTGAAGTAGATTTTAATTTTTTTTTTGGCTAGTTGTATATTATCGTTTTTATTCCAAAAAAAGATGCTTTTCAATCGTACCTATAAATCGATTACATTAAAATTAATATCGTTTAATGTTAAATCAACTTATCAAATGTTAAATATTATTTGATGCATCACTTTAGTTGATATATTATTGTAAAATAAAATATTACCAACAAACATTTTTTAATATTGATTATTATTATTGTATTCAGTCACTATTAACTCTAGGTCATTATGTAATAATGTGATTGTTTATCTAATTTCGATAAAGATGAACAAGGCTTGAACGCATCACGTGATGGACTCCTTAGTCACGTGAGAAGAGTATATCTTAATATCAAGTAGACCAAACACAAAAATATGAGCCAATAAATTCAATAAAAGGACGGATTTATGAAGAAAATAGGGTTGGGCCAAAAGTGGAAGCCCATAAAAGAGGAGAACCAAGTCCCTTCAGCCTGAGGGAGGAAAACTCTTGTCCCACCCACGAGGGAGTTTTTTTCCCCCATAAGAGAATTTTTTTTTTTCTTTTTCACTATATCTTTTTCAAATGACAAAAAAGAGACCAACATTAAGAATTTGAAAATCCGTCTAGAGAAAATCAAAATCATATATTTTAGTAGTGTGTAGGTTAACTAATCTGTAAATTTGGTGCGGTCCAAAAAATAAAAAAATTTTAAACTCATTTTTAGTTTCAGAATAAACATTTTAAAATTCGTAATTTGGTAAGGCATTATTAGCTTTGATACTGTAAAATCCCACTCAAATCAGCCATATTGCCATAGCTATGCTGAATTTCGGAAATTTGTAGAAAAATAATCGCGAAACGTCTCAAGCGTTCTGGCAATTAACGTCGTCAAGTAGGTGCGTTAGTGACTTCGTATCATTCACATATGAACTTTTGCGAGCAAAGGTAACGTAAAGTACAAATAACCCCGTTAAATTAGATCCCAGTACGTGAAAAAAAATAGAAAAGAAAAAAAAAATAATAATAATAAAAGGTTGAAAGTTGGTTGACAAACAGTTCCAGCATCTTGCGGCCGAATATTCAGCGTTGAGCAGTCCGCGCGCGGAGCTCAAAAGAACCTGACAGGCTGATTCTGGTATGATAACGTCTCACTTGTGCAGTTCTCTTCTTTTCTCATAGTCTCTGATTATGGAGTTTCTCTTCCGAGCAGATCTGGTCCTTTCAGTTTATTGATCGCTTACCCCATGTGGAGTTCTCTCTGGCGATCCGTTGATCGCTTCTCTCTCCAGAACTTCAAGTAACTTTCTCAATTACATCACTCGATCGCTGCTTTTCAATGTTCATTCTATGCTTATCTTTCTTGAACTATTTTCTCTGTGTTCGCCATTTGATTTTGTTCCTGAATTAGCTCGAAATTCTACTGTACTGCGAAATGCTTGCAGTCTCGAGTTGATTTCTTGTTTTTCAGTTGGTAGGTTTGAGTTCAATCTTGTTAAGTAGTTGGAAATGGTTGCTTGTAGTCTTGAGTTTCTAACATGTTGTCATATTTTGAACTTTTTGGGGTAGAAGTTGGGGTTTCATAGCCTGAACTACCTTGCCTTTGTTGGTCACTTTAGGTCACAACTTAGAGGTTTGGTTTGGAATTGAAATCACCAAATTGGAAGCACATTGTGTTAAATTCTCCCGTGCAGGGGATTAATAATGGGATTTTTTTTTTTTTAATGAAATGGTGCTATTATTGCTTTGTTTTTTAGAAATTTGAATTGGGAGGAGCATGCGATAAAGAGGTGCTTTCTAGGAGGATTTCTCTTTGCTTCCGTGCTTGTTCGAAAGACTTATGGTGCTAAATATGACTGTCTATCTGTGTTTATTCTAATTGTTGTATTGTTAAACTCTGAGCTGTTGAATGATGAATACATAGATGCTAGGCTTCCCCTACCCTGACATACACACACAAATCTTGATTACGTTTCTTGTTGTAGAATTCGTGATGTGCATTTTTATTGATATAGTTGGATGAGATATTTCAAATTACTTGGCCTCTCAACTAGGAGCTCTATGCAAGGAAATTATTATCTGCATTTTACCTTTGTTATTGTTGTATCTTCATGTTCATAAGTTTCAATTTCCTCTTTGGGAGACTCTTCAGTATTCTTGTGAGTTTAAACATGTGCAGGGGGACTTGTTTTCTAGCCACTGCTTAATCTTCAATCTGCTTTCTTTTGGACCTTTGACAATGCACTGTTTTTTTTATCCTTACATTGTTGATTTTGAACACCATTAATATTATTCTGAACTTTCTTATGAATACTTTGTTTGATCTTTATGTTGATATAGATATGTTATCAAGGAGCTTCAGCAAATCAAAGTTGTGCATAAGCATAACAGGGTAACTTAATTTGACATTTTATTTTACAGTTTTTACTTCATCTGGTATGGTAATGTAAGCTGCCGGAATTTCTTCCTACTAACCAAGTTTTCTCTTTGTTACCTCCAGGAAGTAGTAATAGACCTCCTGCAGTCAATAGTAGAGATAGTTACTTATGGTGATAGACAAGATCCATATATATTCGAGTATGCTGCCTGTTTTGAACAGCTTCTTCTGCGTGGTTATGGTTTTCAATACCTTGTTGATTCTTTCTTATGTAATCTGTTATCCTTGCAGATGTTTTATGGAATTCCAAGTTTTAGCAGAGTTTGTTCGTGTACTAAAGATCAGTAGCAAATCAAGAATTGAGGCACCATTACTTCAATATTTAAGCATAATGATTCAGAACATAAATAATGAACTTGCAATTTGTAAGATTTGTTATTTATTTGTCGTACAAAAAAACTTTTTGAATTCCCTGTAGAAAGAGATTTCGCCAATGAAAAAGCTTTCAACGCTGCCCAATATCGCTTCTTTTTCCAAAGATTGAGTCACTAATAAATTCTAACTTACTTAAATGTTTAGATTTATCTTTTTTTTGTTTTGTGTGTCAATATCTGTGCCCTTGGGTTTTGGAGGAGAGGATTTGCCGCTCTATGATATTTTTAAACACAATGGATAGAGATAACGGTTTCAGACCTTTATTCCTTGCTTTTTCCTTCTATTAAATTCCTGGTTTATTTCTCACACTGCTTCTATTTCGCATCTGAAATTATCATGCAGACTACTGTTTAAGCAATGGCTATATCAACAGCATAATAACTCATCCATATGAATTTAATGGGGGCGACCTGGCTTCATATTATGTGTCATTTTTAAGGTTGTCATGTCATTCTTTCTCTATCCTCATAAATATTTTTATGGCATTCTTATGTCTTTCATCTGCTGCATTGTTCCAGTTTGTATTTTCTTTCTCTTTCGTGTTTCATTACTTTCAACTGCCTATTAGATGCAGAAGTAAATCTTCCTGATTACTTCCTATGCGCTCATTTCTTCTTTCTTAAATCAGAGCCGTAAGCAGCAAAGTAAACAGAGACACACTTTGCCTTCTTGTAAAGGTTCAAGGGGTAAGTTAAAATCTTTCTCTTAGAAATCTTGCCAATATATTAGTTCAGCAAAGTTCTTGGAGGGATGTTACTATAATAAATTAAGCTCATGGCTTTTTTTGCCCATGGGGAATGCTGTTTTGGAGGTCACTTTATTGGATCAATATACAGTGATCAGTACCTAACCATCCCTCTTTTATCTGCAGTTCTCCAAGCAAAGCTACCATCTAATATTAGATGATATTAGATAATATGCTTATTCATGGATTTTGCATGAATTCAAAACAAATGGATGAACGAGCTTATTTTAGATGGTTCCTTGTAGGGCATTTGATAGGTACAATCATTTCTATTTGTCACAAATTTGATGCATCAGTAAATTATGACTTGTTTAGAAATCAAAGCGCAACGATATGGAATATGAAGATCTTCTTTTCTGTTTTCATCTATTTTAGGAAAAGACAACTTTTCATTGTACTGGGGCAAAGGGGGGAAGGTGTGAAGACATGTAAGAGATGCATTTAATTATGAAAAATGGCTTGGCCTGTGAGGTGCAGAGGGCAGCCTTTTGAAAAATATGTGAGAGCCCCTTATGGTCTATGTGACGAGAAGAATCCACCTTATTAATTGCTGAGTTCTATGCATGCTCTCTGGCTGTTTATATTTTTTTGTCAGGCTGATCAAGGTTTGGCTTTAATGTCTGAACTACCTTGGTACTGATGCAGTTTACATTTTTTTTTTTTCCTGGAGATGTGGTGGTGCTATCCCTCTGTTACAGGCCAATTATCCCTTGATACATGACCAAATCTTGACATTATCATTTAAGATAACTTGCAAGACTAACAAATCTTGGCTTTGTTATTTAAGCTAACTATATTTCTCTAGGTTTTGTTACACAACTTCTGTTTAATTTAAAACTCCAAGAAACACCAAGACTTCTTTACTCAAGTCAAATAACTTAATGGAAAAAGATACCCATTATTTTTACAACAGCAACCAACCACTGCCACCACTAGTCATAATAACCACAGGAACACTTCCAGCGATTGGCTGCCATCATCAGCAACTACTGTCCATCTGAAAATGCATATACATGGTTTGACTAGTTTTTAGTCAGATTTGTGCAAGAAACTGTTCCCAGATACAGCTGACAATATGGGAGGTCTCCGACCTGATCTGGCTGGTGGAGTGACTGACTAACTTCAGTTGGCATTTTGACTTCGTTATGCAATCTGGCTGGCTAGTCATTTTTTAATTTTTAGTTCATTTTTGTATGAAACTGCTTAATGGTATTTGTGGAAGGTAGAAGGCTCTGGGGTTTGGCTCATAATCTTTTGGGAAAAGGTTGGGATGGTATCTATTTGCTCAAAAGCAAGAAGAAACCACTACCCTAATTCTCAGTGCCATCTTTTGAACCATATGGGGAAAAAGAAATATTTGCATATTTGAGGGTATCGTATCTATTTTTTAGTATTAGAGATCACTGGTTCAGAATATTCTTTTAGAGGTTAGTCTATCTGAAATGGGTAAAGACTTAGGTGAGCTCATTGATTTTTTGGCTGAATCCCTTGTAATTCTTGTCTCTCTTTCTTTTGCTTTTGTACATGGGTTGCACATGCATCCCTTCGGTGCTTCTTTATGATATATATATATATATATGTTTTCTCCTCTCAAAGAAATTATTACTATTATTATTTAAAATATTACAAAAAATTTCTATATTTTGTTCTTATACCTGTTCCGGTAGTTTTACAATTTGTTTTCCTCTACTAATAGCATCTATAAGTCATACTATTATAAAACCAAGCCAAATTTTCTTGCTCTGGAAGCTACTGTAATTTTATCTTTATTTGAAATTCTTTTGTGGGAAACCATTAACATGCCTTCATTAAATCGTATTTCATCCCTTCAATTCTTCACCTAGACCTGGCCATACAGTGTGGATTTGAGATTTGTGGCATCTGCACTTGCAAATCCTTTTCTTTACCCATCTTACCTACAATTCTACCATCTGGAATGTGGTATCACTTTTGTGTTTTGGGAGCTGAATGCTCTTGCAAATGCAAAGCTATTTGTTGGAACAACTGTCCTTAACCAACTAACATGAATGATCTGATTGAGGCATGTAGACTGACTTGGACTCTCATCTACGGATGTGTGCTTAATGTGTTTTGACAGGTCTGAGTCCTATAGCCACCTATTTTTGCCATGTGATCTGACCTGGAGGCTTTAGGCTAGGCTTTTTGATACTTTTGGTGCAAACTGGTCTCTCATTCACGTCTTTAATGTTTTATTTTTTCATCCTTTTGGATTTGTAAAACAAGTAGAGTAGAATTCTCAAGAGGGGCTTTCTTTACTGTGGTTAGAAGTTTATGGTTTCTTGGCTGTTTAAGACTGTTCCCAACCACTTCTATTCTTTGGCATATGATGGCTTTTTTGGCATTATCTTGGACCATGGCTCATGACCTCATTTGAGACGCCTCTCTAGGTATCTTGTAAAGAGATCGGGAAGCAGTTTTCTACTCAATTTTGTTTTTCTTTCCTTTCCTCATTTTTCTTTATGTTTTAGAGGAACTATATTTTTTCTCTTCTCCTTTTAATGACATTTCTTCTTTTATAAGAAATATAACAAGTTAAATTGTAAATAATGAAGAGCTGCTTCAGTTCAGTCCAAACAGTAACTAAATAACAATTTGGCCAAGGGCTTTATTTCTTTCTGTGATCATGTCTGCAGGATGCTGTTGTTTCATTTCCTTTATACAGTGAGGCTCTTAAATTTTCTCGCCATAGTGAAAAGATGATCCAGACAGCTATACGTGCTTTGAGCCTAAGTATATATAACGGTATTCTACTGGCTTTATCTCTCCATCAGTCTCGCACATGTTCATGTTCTCATCTGGTCCACGCAAGCACTAACAGAATGAACATTGATTAATGATTACAATATACTTGTTATGTTCTCAGTCCCTGACTGTGATTGCTTATGCAGTTATGGATGACATGGTCTATCAATTTGTAACGACTCCTCCTGTCTCAGCATACTTCTCAGAGTTGGTGTATAGCTTTAGAGATATGTGCATTCATCTAGACGCCCTTGTTTGTTCAATCAAGTATGCTTCTTTCAACTGGGTAAAATTATGTATTGTATCACCAATTATAATTTGGAAGTTGCATGCCTTACTATTATTTTAAGGCAAATAACTTGCCTGATGCAGGGAGAAATATGCTCATAAAAGAGAAGAAATAGTTCTACAAACTGAGAAAATCGCTGATGACCTATTCTACTTCAAGGATATTCTTTCTGTTGGTGATCCATGTTTGAATAAACTTGTTAACCAAAATCTTTTCAAGTTGCTTGTTTTCCCTATATTGCTCCCATTGCTGCAGCCAAGTTGGAGTAACGTTAGTTCTTCTTTGTCTCAAGCTCCTTTCTTTGTATTTTTTTTGTCATTCGAATAAAGTAGGCACATGGAGACTTCTGAGAAATGGAGGTACAGCTTACTCATATAGTTCTATGTGTTTATTAAGAATATGCTTTCAAACAGGCAGAAGGCTGAAAAGTTTTAGATTCAATAATTTTGAAACTCAGTCATAAGTTTATCATAGTACTATCATTGTCATAATTATCCACATTCCCTAATATGGGTTTATAGGTGAAGTCTCTTGACTGTTCCCAGGTTTAAGTCCCTGGAAAAGTTTGAGAATAATTTAGGGTACCATTAATCTTCTGCCAAATTAAAAGGGCATCCAGTTAGTAGTGAAACAGCAAAAATGGCCGGATTATAACAATGAAAATGAGTTGATTGGAAAGCATGGATACATCTTATTCCAGCATATCATAAAAATTTGTGCTTTTGCTTCAGGACTCAATGATATCTGCTACCAGTTCTTTATATATATTTTCGCATCTTCTTCAAGTTGTGGAGGAAAATTCATGATTAATTCAATTGCTAGCATTCTTCTGTATCCTTACATCATGTTAAGCATGACAGACGCAACCCAAGGAGATACTGCTGACCGGTGTAGTCATTTAGATTCTTTTCACAACCTTTTGAATGGTTTGGAAATGATGGAATGTCCTGATCCTAAGTCAAGGGAAGCAGAAAATAGAAAGGGGAGCAACATATTTGAGCATATGCCTGAGAACATATCGAGCAATTCTTATTTTGTCAAGGACTTTGGGGACGATAATGTATGTATGGAAAGGTTGGTATATTACCAGTTTTATAGTATTGTTTTCATGTTTAATTGATGTTAGATTAGCGCATTATCAAGATGAGGAAAGAGATATTCTTACCAATTCTCTGCATTTCATCAAGCCTAAGAGTAGTTGGCACTTGGGCTGCAATTGATTCTTCCAGCAGTTGGACAATTAAGTGTCTTTGACCTATTTTAATTGCATAATATCTGTTCCAAGATATAGTTTTGAATACAGGTTTCATTCCTTTGGTGCCACATTAATTACTTATAAAAAAAATATTGTTTCATAGGATAAGTTGAGAACAACTAGATATATGTAATCTTCACAACTTTGCTTATAATTTGAAGGGAGAGTGGCAAGAAACTAATGATGGAGATTGTGTATAACCAGTAATAGAGTCTATATAGTCATGATCCATCATCTATGTAGCAAGTGGTGCTTCAAAGTCTCTGTTATGGACGCAATTGTAGGGTATAAATACGGAAGATAAGATAACGACTAAATAGGAAGGTGAAATTCAATTAAATATTGAATTCTAATTAATATTAGATTTCTAAATAATTAGAATCCTAATTAGTATTAGATTTCTAAATAGTTGAAATTCTAATTAATATTAAATTCTTAAATAATGTGTAATTTTTCATTAGTATTGGATTTCTAAATAATGTAGGATTTTTAATATTTTAATAAAATATTTTTAATTAGATTTAGATTTATAATTAGATTAAGATTTTTAAATAAAAATTATAATCTCTGTATAAAAGAGTATACTTGTTATTAATAAAAATAAGTTAGAATATTATTTTAAAATATGGAATTGAAATTCTCTCTAACTAGATCCAATGTAGTAATTCCATTTGATGAGCTGTAATATATTTTCACAAAATAAATCACATTCGCAATAAGAATAAGGATGATAACCATTTGTTAGAATACGACTTTATTGTTAACTGTCCAGTGAGAAGATTCTAGTCCCGAAATCATAACAAATTGGTATCAGAGCCAAATACAATGGATGAGCGAGGATTGCGTGAGGAATTGAAAATCTGGTAGCTAAAATAGAGGCTCGAATGGATGCTAAGCTACGACAACTATCTCAACAAATGAAAACTCTTTTTCAAATAATCATCCAGTCACGCGATAGAGATTTAGACGGCGGAACATAAGCCGACAACAATAACACAATTCAATCTGGTCATGCTGACAACCAATCAAAATTGCACGCTACAAGCATAGAGCTGAGAAACAGAGGAATTAACCCACGCTACACTAAGCTGGACTTTTCCACCTACGATAGAACAAAAGATCCTTTGATATACCTCAATCAATGCGAGCAATTCTTTGCTAATCAACGGACTATTGCCTTCGACAAGGTTAGTCTAGTAGCTTTTCAAATGATAGGAGAAACCCAACTTTGGTACTCTAAACTATAACAGGAAGAGTCGGACATGGTATGAAAACATTTGTGAAGTGTTGCACTCTATGTTTTGGACCGCCATTGCAAAGCAGTCCATTGGGCGAATTGATCAACCTTAAGCAAACGGGCTCACTTGAGGAGTATCAACGACAATATCAGAGGTTGTTGGCACGAGCCTTTACGGTACGCCGTGATTGGTAAATTAATTTTTTCACAGCAGGATTGATCAATTCTCTCCGTTTAAAGGTCGAGATGCAACCACCCACTACTCTTATGCACGCAATGAGCATAGTCAGAGTTTTTGAAAGAAAACAACAGTTATGTGCTATGATCGAACACAATTATAGTGATTCTTCTCAGTTCAAGATCAAGCCTAACAAGTCAGTTCAAAAAATACTGGCTCCATAGGGCAATAATATTATGACACAATATGATAACCTTTCTCTCCAATTATAAAAAAACTAATAAGAGTAGAGATGGTAGAAAGGAGGTTGAAGGAGCTGTGTTATAACTGCGATGAACCGTTTGTTTTAGGTTACTATTGTAAAAAACTATTTTGCCTTGAGATTGAATGCGACACTAGACGACAAGAAAAGACCAATGAATCAGTTATATCTATATTTCAAGCTCGATGACAAATTTAATGATTAGGAGGGGAGTAATGTTATGGACGCATTTGTAGGACACAAATATAGAAAGCAAGATAACGATTAATTAAGAAGGTGAAGTACAATTTAATATAGAATCCTAACTAGTGTTAGATTGCTAAATAGTTGGAATTCTAATTAGTATTTGATTTCTAAATAATATGTCATTTTCCATTAGTAGTGTATTCCTAAATAATATAAGATTTTTAATATTTTAGTAAAGTATTTTTAATTAAATTTAAATTCTTAAATATATTAATATTTTTAAATAAAAATTGTAAGCTCTATATAAAGGAGTATGTTTACTATTAATAAAATAAGCCAAAATATTATTTTAAATTACTAGATTGGAGCTCTTTCTAACGAGTTTCATTTGATGAACTGTAATATATTTTCACAAAATAGATTGCTCTCACAATAAAAATAAGGATATCAACCCTTTGCTAGAAAATGATTTTGTTGTTAACTGCCCAGTAACAAGATTCTGGTCACAGAATCATAATAGTCTTCAAGAGGTTAATTTGTACAAATTCCTTGTTCTTCCATTTTCTTACTTTATGGGAGGATAGATGTTAAAAACAATTTCTAATTTGATAAAAAAATGAAATAGGGAAGATGAAGGATTGAGAATGATAGTGGAGAAGGAAGAATCTAGATTGCCATGAAGACAAAGAAAGAAAGTGACGGTGGAGAAATAGAGAAATAAAGGACCTGGAAAGCCTTCGGGCAGTATGAGAAGAAGAATAAGGAAAATGGCAATGAAAATGAAGAGAAAGAAAATGCCGGTGAAGAGGGAGAGAAAGAAGAAGAATATGGAGAAGATGGAGTCAGCAACAAAGGCTATATATATACTTAGGGGTGTACGTATATGTGCATGAAAAAAGAAAAGAAAGAAAATAAAACAGGCTGCATGTATGACTCCTTTGCTAAGTAAAAGGCCCTTCCATCACAACAACTTTTTTATCTTTCTTCTTTAATCCTCGAAGTTCCTTTATTTTTTGTTTAGCCTCCATACTTTACTTTCTTTGCATCCCCAATCAACTTTTACTACATAATTCAATCCCCAAGATTCTAACAATAGAAAGTTATTTATGTTTCAAGCAACTGCTTGTTAGGTTTGAGAGGAACTCCTTGGAGGTATTTGAGATCTGGATAACATCCCATGGGAGCTAACAATATTTCTGTCCCTATGTTTCTTCTTTTGTTTTATTTACTTGTTCTGTTGGAAATTATTTTATTTTTATTGGGGTGGTAGGAATAGAATGATAATCTTTCTTATAGACTTTTTGTGGTGCAGCTGTGGAATACTTGCTTATGTTTACTCTGAAAACCAAAGTATATTGCTGGCGTCTCTCTTTTTATTGCTTATTCTAGCAGAAAGCAAAGGTATTATATATATAGGTGAATCACTTGAAATAAATTTTTCAATGCATAACTTTATATATTTACCTCTTTTTGCAGATCTTGAAAATTTTCTGGCTTCAGTAATTGGATCAAGACATATGCAGGGTTTGATGGTACATGTCAAATCCAATGCGCATTCATTTAATTTTTGTTAGCATATACATCCAACCCAGGACTATCCTGACCATCTAATCTCATTTATATTTTTGACCTCAGTCCTGTGACAAATCAGTCCCAACAATGGCAGATGAGGGTATTCTCACGAGATGTATGCCTCAGGTATATGATCATGCAGCTATTGGTAACATTTGGTAAAATGAAGGAACAAAACAGATAGAGTTCAATGGTATAATATCGGCCTGAACAAGATATGTAGTGGTATGTTTAGCATATATGGGATTGGAGTGAATGCAAATTTGTTGCGCTAACTGTTTGGTAATGAACCAAACTGTCCATTGTACTATCTCTTGTTTAATTTTAATTTTTCATGACTAGAGAAATTGTGAAAAAAATATGAGAAGAAAAAAAAAATCTCTATTTCTGAATTGATAATACATGGTAATACATGATAATTCTAGAGCTTTTGAGGGTAAAGTTAATGATTTGTATAGTTTGAGAGATAAGTGGTTGCATTATTTTGGATTTTTATTGTTAGGGCATGATATGATTAGTGATGTGAATTTTGGGTATATTATTGATTCACTAACAACATTGTAAAGTTTTTGTACAGGAGTGGTACTCCCGATTTTTTAGTACCATATTAATATTATTTCACATTTTTTATTTAAAAAAAAAAAAATACATGGTATGATATAGTAGGTTATAAGAGAAAAAAATAGGAAACTTACTCATTCCTAAATGGGACACTAACTCATTAGGAAACCTAACCTCCTAATCTCTTTTCAGCATATCTATATCTTGACACTCCCCCTCAAGCTGAGGAATAGATGTCTTCCATTCCCAGCTTGAATACAAGATAATGGAAGTTCGAACTGTTCAGCCCCTTTGTTAGAACATCAGCTACTTGACGTTCTAATGGAACATAAGATTTATACACTAACTCTTCCTCCAATTTTTCTTTGATGAAATGTCTATCAATTTAAATATGCTTTTTCCTATCGTGTTGTATAAGATTATGAGAAATATTGATAGCTGATTTGTTGTCACAATAAAGCTTCATAGATCCTTCCCATTTGACTCTCAATCATTTAGAATAATCTTCAACCAAAGTAGCTCATATAATCCCTGAGCAATAGCCTTAAACTTTGATTTTGCGGATGATCTTGCCACCGCATTATGTTTCTTGCTCCTTTATGTTACCAGATTATCTCTAAAAAATGTACAATAACCTGTAGTTGATCTTCTATTAATTAGGGAACCTGCATAGTCAGTATTGGTGTAAGCTTCTAGAGCAACAGTGTCGTTCTTCTTGAACAAAATTTTTTTCCCTGGATTGCCTTTCAAATAATGCAGTACTCTGTAAACAACTTGAAGATGAGGTTCTCTTTGATCGTGCATGAATTGACTAATCACGCTCATTGAGTATGCTATGTCAGGCCGAGTGTGAGCAAAGTATATGAGTTTTCTGACCAATCTTTGGTATATTCTTTTATCAATAGTTGGTTCTTCTTTAGCTTCTTCCAACTTATGGTTTGGGTCCATTGGTCTAGAAATTGGTTTACACTCAATCTTCCTTGTTTCTGTCAATAGATCAATCATGTACTTTTGTTGCGATATGAAGATTTTTTGGATGAAATGTGTCACCTCAATACAGAAGAAATACTTCAGTTTTCCCAGTTCTTTTATTTCAAATTCTTTTGCTAGTCTCTGATTCAGTTCCTGCTTCTCTCTCTCATCATTTCTAGTCACTAAAATATCGTCCACATAAACTAGAAATACAGTTACTCTCCCTACAGCTGAATGTTTAATGAAGAAAGTGCAGTCACCTTGGCTTTGTTTATATCCCGACTCCTTTATGACTTTTGCAACTCTCCTAAATCATGCTCTAGGAGATTGTTTTAACCTATATAGAGCCTTTTTCAGCTTGCATACCTTGTTACATGTGTCCCCCTCAAATCCCGATGGGATATTCATGGATATCTCTTTATCTAAATCCCCATAGAGAAATGCATTTTTAACATCATATTGTAGAAGTTGCCACCTAAAGTGGACAACCAATGACAATAGAATTCTCATTGTATTCATTTTTGCAATTAGACCAAAAGTCTTCTGATAATCTACCCCATAAGTTTGAGTATACACTTTAGCCACCAATCTTGCTTTATATGTCTCAAGGGATCCATCAGCCTTATATTTCAGTGTGAAAATTCATTTACAATCAATAATATTTTTCTCTTTTGGTTTATCAAGAATCTCTCCTGTTTTATTCTTTTCTAATGCACTTATCTCTTCTCTCTTAGCATTCCTCCATTCTCTTTTTGACAATGCTTCAGAAACAGTGTTAGGGACAGTAATGACGTTTAAACTTACAATGAACTCTTTGTGGGGCGGTGATTGGTGCTTAAGAGAGACATAGTGAGATAGTAGGTAAAGCGGTCATTTAGTGCATTCTCTGGTACCTTTTCTCACAATAATAGGAAGGTTTAGGTTGTCTTTTGAATTATCAGGTGTTTCAACAGATTGTGTATGTAAAGGTGGATAAGATCTTACTGTATCTCATTTCCAGAGTCTGGGTTGGATTCTTGGACTTGGATCAGTTCTAGAACGGCCTTTCTCCTTGAATACACCTGAGTGAACCTTGGTAAATTTTGATTTGCATTGGTAGGGACAAGTGGTGACACGGGTTCAGCAGCAGAATTGAGTGACTTAGATGTGATTAGGTCAGAGGTCTCGGATTCAACAGCGTGGGCTGGAACTTGAGAAAGGTCAAGAGTTTTAATTGGTTCAAAAGACTCACAAGTACTATCTTCCATCATTGAAATCTCCCCCTGAAGAGAGGACTTGGAAAAAAAAGGTTTTATTTTCTGTGAATGTGACATCTGCAAAGATGTATAATTTTCTGGATGAAGGGTTGTAACACTTGTATCCCTTTTGAGTGGATCAGTAATCAAGAAAAATACATTTTATGGCTCAGGGATCTAGCTTGCCTCTTTGTTGGTTGTGGATGTGAATAAAGGCAGTGCACCAAAATACTCTGGGTGTTAGGCCATTTGAGATTTTGAAGTGAGGGTAAAAACTATTAAGGATCTTTATGGGACTTTTGTTGTCTAACACATATAAGGTGTGTGGTAGTAAGAACAACCTCTCTCCAATAGGACTTAGGAACATTCCCTTGAAAGAGTAAGACTCGGGTGGTATTAAGTAAGTGCCCATTTTTCCTTTCAGCTACCCCATTTTGCTGAGGTGTGTTAACACATGAAGATTCATGGATGATGCCCTGTGATTGAAAATAGAGTGACAAAATCAAGTTGAAGTAGCCTCTAACATTATTTGTCCTAAAACTTTTTATTTTAACCCCAAATTGGTTTTGAACCATTAAATGGAAGTTGGGTATAACAATGCTAACATCAGATTTTTGTTTAAGAAGAAAGAGCCAAGTAACTTGAGTGCAATCATCAATTAAGAATACAAACCAACGAACTCCGAAAACATTTGGTATTATAAAAGGACCCCATATGTCACTATGAATTAAATGAAAAGGATGAGAGGTTCTTTTATTGTTGATAGGAAAAGATACACGAGCATGTTTTGCTAATTCACAAGTGTTATAATGAAATTCAAACATATCTAATCTATGGAACAAATGAGAAAACACGTCTTTTAAAACCCTAAAAGATGGATGACCTAGGCATAGGTGATATAGCAAAATGACATCTTTATTTGTGGAACTGAAGAAAACCAAGGACAAACTACTTTTACCGTTTTTTGATGATTCAAGGTGGTAAAGACTGTTTTTTTCCTTAGCAAGTCCAATCCTCCTCCCCAAGTGCTGATCCTGAAAAACACAATAAGAAGGGAAAAAGTGACATAACATTTAAGATCATGGGTTAGTTTTTGAATGGAAATTAAGTTGGTTGATAGCTTCGTACATGGAGGACATTTTTAAGGGTAAGGGTAGGTATGATATGTATATCTCCGAACCCTACAACAGTAGCTAAAGAGCTATTGGCCACTAAAATTTTCCTGTTACTCGGGCATGAGGTATAGGTGTGAAAGAGTTGAGGTATGGGGGTCATATGATTTGTGGTACTAGAATCTATCATCCAAGAATTAGCATATAATGTTTCCGAGGCATTCATACAAAAGAGAACGAAAGTTTACCTATAAGAGCCAGAGAACAAGTTCCAGGATGTTTCCCAAGAGATCCCAGTAGGTTTCTGAGCTTCTCAATTTCTTCATTATTGAATCCCCTGTTGCTGAATTTTTCTCAGTTTTGGGTTGCTCTACCATATGTGCCTGAGGCTTTTGTTGCCCCCCACGATTTTCCCAGTCTCGACTTGGTGGCTTACATTCAATTTCCAACACTTCTCTTTTGTGTGCCTCGGTTTCTTGCAATAGGTGCACTAGAGATTGTCCTTGTTCTCCTTCCACTTGTTTTCTCTACCGGGGTGTTGAGTTAGATTACCCTTTCCTTTCTCATGATGATCTATTTTTGCTATTAGGGCTGACTCATTCACGGTTTGTTGTGTTTGAAGCATAATACTCATTCGGCTTTATTCTGCTTGAATCAATGATATTATCTCTTCTAGAGGAGGGGTGTCCTCCTTGCTAAGGATTTGGTAACTAATATGATCGAATTTAGAATTCAATCTAGCCAAAAAATCATAAACTCGGTCTTTTTCAATGAAGTTCTTCAAGATGACAATATTCTCGGGGTGTTTCATCTTAAAAACTCGGTAATGATCAAGTTCTTGCCACAGGTTTTACAGCAGGTTTGCATATTCTATGACAGATTTGTCTCCTTGCTTAGTAGCCGCAGTTCTTACCTTGATCTCGTACACTTAAGCAGCATCATGAGTCTTCGAATATGGTGACGAATGAAATCCCAAATTTCCTTTGCTGTAGCAAAAAACATACAAGTATCACTAATTATGGGATCCATAGAATCCCATAGCCAAGACATTATCATGGAATCCTCCTCATCCCATGCTTGAAATGATGGGTCATCCTTTGCCGGTCCCGTTCCAAGAAGGTGATTAAGTCTCCCTTTGCCCTTAAGGTATGTGCGGACAAATTGAGACCATTTGAGATAGTTCTTCCCATTAGGTCTATAGGAGGCCTGAATATTCTGCAATTCTCCAATTTTCTGAACAGAGTTGGACTCTTCGGATGGATTTGAATTGCTGGAGGCAGTGGTGTCGGTGGTTTGGGAGGTTGACATGATGAAGAAAGGAAATCAGCAGCAATTAAGACTGCCCAAACGGGAATTAAAGAAGAAGGAGAAATTAAAAACAAGATCAGCAATGATGGCTGAAAGGAAGATCGTTTAACAATTAAGGCTGAAGAGAAAAGAGACAGATTTCCATAAAAGAGCTTAGAGCTTTGATAACATGTGAGGAAATATGAGAAGAAAAGAAAGATTTCTATTTCTGAATTGATAATACATGGTATTATATAGTAGGTTACAAGAGAAAAAAATAGAAAACTAACTTATTACTAAATAAGACACTAACTCAACAGGAAACCTACTCATTCCTAAATAGAACACTAACTCATTAGGAAACCTAACCTTCTAATCTTTTGCTAGCATATCTATATCTTGACAATATCTGTATTTAGAAATATATTCAATTCCATACTATTTTTTTTAAATTGATATTATTTTGTTTTTAATAATTAATTTTAGAATATACTACCTAATGTGTCAAATATTTAAGTAACCAACACTGTTACTATAATTCATCATTACCATAATTTTAGCCATAAAAATCTAGAAAAGATATTGTAATTATTATCAAAATATCTGAACTATTACCATAATATTTGAAAAGAAAAAGCACAGTGATGGGGAATAACTAGTGTTCTTGTGCTATCCTTTTGCATTAGAAAAAATAAATAACAAAAACAAAGAACCCAAATAATGTCGAGATATTGTTTCTTCAAGTTGACCAATGCATTAATTTTTCTTTTTAAGAACAAATTAGGATAAAGACAAAAAAATGGGAGGAAATAAAACATACCAGTATGCAGCAATTGAGAAGAAAAAGTAGTTACTGCAGCTTAAAATGGAGAAGATTTGAAGACAAAAAAGTAAGCTTTTATTTGCAGGGCAAAGGACATACTCATTGATATGTAAATCAATGATATGTAGATACATCATTGTAGATATCCCAGAAATCTGTCTCCATGTTCATTGTAGATACCAGAAATCTGTCTCCGAGTCTATTGTACATATCTCATTGATATGTAAATCTTCTGTATATGGATGGTACCCTCTTGGTGCTTATCTTAATACATTTCTACATTTTTATCTTAAAAAAAAAATTATGGAGGGCAAAGGATAGTTTAGAAATAAGAAAAAAAAGTATGTGTTTTGGTGTTTTAAAATTTTACTTTTTTGCAACTGTTCTTGGAACAAATTTGTTCCACCAGAAAGAGGAAAATTTTTTTGTCTCATTTTTGTACTTTCTTATTTTCCCTGTAGCTCATATTTTGGTTCTAAACACAGGATTGAACTTCTGTATTCCGATAGGCTATCTTTGTTTCTTGTTTCCAGTTCATGTACAGTGTGTTAAAAAGTAATACATTTCATTTATGGTTTCTAGGTGAGATATGCTAATTTGGCTCTATCTCTGATTCTACTCCAACCTTGTGTCCCTTCTGTGCAACTTTTCAAATGTCATCTTAAAGTTCTCTCTCCCTCATTTTTTCTGTTTACAGATAATAAATGCCTTGTTGACGAGTTTAGCCTGCCAACCACCTTTTCCTGCACTAGTACAGTGGCATACAGGGTGGTTTCTGCGGAAGCTATTACTACATGTAAAGACGGTTGATGATCATAGTCTTCACCTATTCAGTGTAAGGATTTAACTGATATATCACATAAACTCTATATTAGTATGGGGGCATCTATCACTTCCATGCCTTGCCTGTCTGGTTTATGCATACATGGATTGCTAGCACTTTACTTTCTTTTGATCCAAGAGTCTCAGCTAGCACAGGTGATGCAGGCAAAGTTAAGAGTTTCCTAGGAAATTATTGCTTTATTGTTGTTATTATTTAGGTCAACTATTCTGGTCTTCTATTGCTTACTAACCAAGAAATTATTCTTTAGCTGGATTATTTTGCTTTGGTAGTTTTACATATCTGAAATTCCTGTGTTATTGTATAGGATTATATATTCTATAGATGGAGAGGCTTAGCACTGTAACTATAGCTTTCAGAAAAAAAATTTCCTGCCTTTTTATTTTTCTGGTTTAGTTCAGGATGATACAAGCCCTTGATTATACAGCCTATTACCCTACTTTGTTTTTCCTTTTGAATAATTTACTTTCACTATGAAGGTTTTCAGATTACTTTTGTGGTCAAGTGTTTAAAGCATATTTTGGTTTTTAAAAAAAGCCATAAAGTGTTTGAATCATCCTTAGAAATGTGAAAAGCTCGAGCGCTTTTAGTTTCTGAAAAAAGTTTCGAAGCCAGTTTTTTAAGAGATCTAAAAAATGGAAAACAAAAGCTTTTTTGACTATTGTTTTTTACCAAAATACCTCTTGTCAAAACAAATGAAAAATAAAATATCACATATCTGCCTCTTATTTGATAACTTTAATTATTTGTTTTTGTAATAAACATAACTAATAGTCACACGACTAATAAATATTCTAAACAGTAAATTTTAAGTGAGAACAAAACAAGAGTATCCCTATGTTGGTAAACTTTGTCAAAAACTCTCTCTAAGTTTTGTCAGCATAGGAAATAAATTTAGAGAACTTTTAACTGAATGACGAATTAATTTTTTTTTTCTGTTTTGGTAATATTACTAAGTCTTTACCTTAAAGCTCAAATTTTTATCACACACTTGACAGTTTATTAGAATCTAAAACAAAAAAAGGTTCAATATCTAAACACTTTTACTGCTTAAAGTTCATCTGAGCAAAAAACTTTTATGTGCGCAAAGCTCATTGGAGCTAAAAGTCTTACTAATGTTAAAGCACCAAAAATAATAAACAAATCAACGTGCATATTCTATCACTAACATATATGCAAATAACTTATATACAGATACATGAATACGTGCGCATATGCTTGTATGTTTCAAGGAAAGTAAAACTCACAAATGTTTT